CCATGCCTTCTTCCATGAGCTGCATTTTCTGAGCTCAAGGCAACCACACTCCCTGCATTCACATCTCTCCTGAAGACCCACTTCTACTGTACCATCAGTGGGAAAACTAGCTGACTTATACTGTACATCTGGGAGTAATATATATATATATATATATATATATATATATATATATATACACACACACACACACACACACACACACACACACACACACCCTATTTGCTGGAAGAATAAACTTGTTAAGCTAACCTTATTTTACCAAAATATGGCCCATCACTACTTTTACCTTGCTATTAATTTGTTGCATCCTTTCTCCCTACCCTCTTTGTGAACTCCTTGGAGAAAAGTTCATGGCTGATTTTCTGTTTAGAACGTACCTATCAAATTGTGGACACTATCAATAATAAAATAATAAACATTAAACATTTTAAAAATCCAGCACTACACAAGAGCCTTTACATGCTCTCCATTGGTCTTCACAACCAAAAACACTGCCAAGATATCAACTGTGTCACTACACATTCACCAGGGAGACACCTGACAATTGCATAGTAGCAATAATTTCAGAAATGCACTACTGTGACAATGAAAGGGACATTCACTTTGTTCTTTACAGCAGTGCTATGGTCAATAACCATCACTAGTTATCTGTGCATCCGGAGTGGTGGGGGTTGGGTGGGGAAGCATCAGAATGATATATCAAGGTAGATTAAATCTGCCAAGTATTGAGAAATGCTGTCAAGATATAGCAGGCACTACAGGACTGTAATTCCTGTCTATAGTTCAGTTCTTGTGAAAATCCCAGATAATCTACAACGTTTAGTGTGCATTTTACACAAATGGTTTTCCTAGGGGCATCTGCAAGTTGAATTGTACAGCAAAACTGAACTGTCAAATCAATACAGCGTACCTTACCAACCAGTGCACCAAAAACTGCATCTGTCTAACTCGTCCATTCAACATTGTAGAATCCCATCTCAAATTTGCACTTCTGACCATGACTACTTGCCTACGTAAGCTCATTTTACATCTGTTTTGTACACGCACTACAGAATTTGGCCCATTGAGACTTCATTAAACCTAACACCAAACCATTACAGAAAAATCAAGGCAACTGATTTTCAAAATTTAGTTCTGTCATAGGCTGGGGGGGGGGGGGAAGATTTTACTTAATTGAGTTACTCCTGAAAAGAGGCAACTTTATATCTATCAGAAAAAATATTGAATTCCAGTATAGCAAAGACTGAGTTCTCATAATCCTCAATAAAAAATAACTTTCATATGAAACATTTTATACAAATAAAACTCCTTGAAGAATAATATTTCTCTCAATGTTAAATACCACTATATAAATATCTGCAATTGAGCTTTTTAGTAAAATTAGAAAAATGGCTTGCTGTAATCTGTATTGAACTACAGTATAAACTACTTAACCCAGAATAATTTAACTTCACAAGGTTACCTCCTTTGGATTTTCTTCTGAAAACACATGAATGGCTCATTGGCTAACTTGTAAGTAGCCATTAGCAAAAGAAATACTGGCTTTGTGAAAATTAACTTCATGAATAAGTGACACTCTAAAATACAGAGTCAATACTGGAAGACAAATCCTAGCTAGTAAAGTTAAACATCGTATAATAGAATATTAAACAGAAAACTCAAAATACATACATGAAGTAGACAGAAAAGAGAAATGCAGAAAAAGTTTTGTAACACTGTAGTTTCAGAAAAATAATTGTACATATGGTTCATTTAAAAAACGTCCAAAGTAATTTTTTCCATGCATACTCAGTGAAGATGGAGGTCCATTTACTATACTGGTGTAGCAGAAATGACTATTCATTATGTAAGGGGCAGTTCTTGCAATGATCATAATTTTCTTTTTTAAAAACACTGTGGACTTAGCCCTTTCCTTTTTCACACAAAATATTTTTAGAAAATTTAAACATGCAAATGTAAAAAGTTTAAATAAACCCATTGACCAGAACCTTGTCTTCAGGATTTCAGAGAAATGCAATACAGTAGATGCTCATTAGTAGCAACTAGGGCTGTCAAGCAATTAAAAAAATTAATCACGATTAATACGCAATTAAAAAAATTAATCGTGATTAATCATGCTGTTAAATTATAGAATACTATTTATATAAATATTTTGGATGTTTTCCACATTTTCAAATATATTGATTTCAATTACAACACAGAATATACAGTGTACAGTGCTCATTTTATATTTAATTTTATTATATTTGCACTGTAAAAATAAAAATAGTATTTTTCAATTCACTTAATACAAGTACTGTGGTGCAATCTATCATGAAAGTTGAACTTACAAATGTAGAATTATGTACAAAAATCCACCAATTCTACTTCTTGTCCAGCCAATTGCTCAGACAAACAAGTTTGTTTACATTTGCAGGAGATAATGCTGCCCGCTTCTTGTTTACAATGTCAGCTGAACGTGAGAACAGGCGTTCACATTGGACTGTTGTAGCTGGTGTTGCAAGATATGCTAAAGATTCATATGTCCCTTCATGCTTCAACCACCATTCCAGAGGACATGCGTCCACGCTGATGATGGGTTCTGCTCGATAATGATCCAAAGCAGTGCCGACCGACCCATGTTCAGTTTCATCGTCTGAGTCAGATGCCACCAGCAGAAGGTTGATTTTCTTTTTTGGTGGTTCGGGTTCTGTAGTTTCTGCATCGGAGTGTTGCTTTTTTAAGATTTCTGAAAGCATGCTCCACACCTTGTCCCTCTCAGATTTTGGAAGGCATTTCAGATTCTTAAATCTTGGGTCAAAGTGCTGTAACTATCTTTACAAATCTCACATTGATACCTTCTTTGCGATTTGTCAAATCTTCAGTGAAAGTGTTTCTAAAACGAACAACATGCTTGGTCATCATCTGAGACGGCTATAACATGAAATGTATGGCAGAATGTGGGTAAAACACAGAGCAGGAGACATACAATTCTCCCTCAAGGAGTTTAGTCACAAATTTAATTAACGCCTTATTTTTGGAACGAGCATCATCATCATCATCAGTGTGGAAGCATGTCCTCTGGAATGGCGGTGAAAGCTTGAAGGGACATACAAATATTTAGCATATCTGGCACGTAATTACCTTGCAATATCAGCTACAAAAGTGTCATGTGAATGTCTGTTCTCACTTTCAGGTGACATTGTAAAGAAGAAGCAGGCAGCATTATCTCATGTAAAAATAAACAAACTTGTTTCTCTTAGCGATTGGCTGAACAAGGACTGAGTGGACTTGTAGGATCTAAAGTTTTACATTGTTTTATTTTTGAGTACAGTTATTTAACAAAAAATATACATTCGTAAGTTGCGCTTTCACGATAAAGAGATTGCACTACTGTACTTGCATGAGGTGAATTGAAAAATACTATTTCTTTTGTTTACCATTTTTACAGTGCAAATATTTGTAATAAAATATAAAGTGAGTACTGTACACTTTGTATTCTGTGTTGTAATTGAAATCAATATATTTGAAAATGTAGAAAAACCATCCAAAATATTTAATAAATTTCAATTGGTATTCTATTGTTTAACAGTGCGATTAAAACTGCAATTAATCGCGATTGATTTTTTTGAGTTAATCGCGTGAGTTAACTGCGATTAATCGACAGCCCTAGTAGCAACATATTGTTATCCTTTTGCTATGTTGCTCCTAAGTGGCTGTTGCTATGGGGAGTGTTGACAATTCACAGTAGAAAAAGTGGTCCCGGGGAAACATTGCTCATCAGCAATGGTTGCTTTTAACAAGCTGTTGCTGCAAACCAGAGTCTACTGTATTTTGAATATTCCTCCCTCAAAAACACTCTCTCTCTCTCTCTCTCTCAAAAAAAGACCATTTCCTCTACAGACATACTGGGACTACACTGGTGACAGTTCAAATATAAAAATGACAACATACACAGTCACTCGTCAAAGAATTTTCAAGTGCAAAATGAGGAGTATTTTAGAGTTTGGAAATTTGTGAGCTTTTCCAGGTGATGTTAACACATTCTTCATAAGGAACACTGAATTCTTGAACAATTTAAAGTCCATGTCTCTGCTCATCCTGATTTCCCCACACAAAATTTCAAAAGATTCTGTTGTCGCCCAGTCTCTCAAGCACAATCTTAGCAATTTAAGGGTTTTAAACTCTTCTTAAACTGAATCAAACTCATAATTTAAGAGAAATTTAATATTTCAAACTTTGCTTGACTTATTATATATTTACCTAACTTTTTCCTGCTCTACTTATTCTGCTTGTAGAGAAAGAATGTCCCATTTATGATAATTTCTAATATTCAAGCTAGATCCATTTTAGCTTAGAACTTTCAACTTTAAATAAAAACATTGTTTCAATCTTCCTAAGGGGCAGTGGAGCAAAACATGCTCAGTTTAATGAATTATAATTCATGCTGAAGCACAAATGTAACTTTCTTCTATATTTTGAAAAAAATATTGAGGAATATTTTAAATGGTCAGAGAGATGTTTAATTAGAAGGCTGCTTTAAATGTAAGCACTTCAGGATTACATAGACACATTCATCTTCCAACAACTTATCACCACAAGGCTGAGTCTAATGTTATCAGTCTTTTAAAATAATTTAAAGTGAACAAAAAAAATGTAAGTTAATTGGAACAAGTTCTTTGAAGCAGTTAATTCTGCTGAGGTCTCAGGCATGTAAGTATTGCTTCCTGTTAAAGGGACACCTTGTGTTCAGGAATAAAGTGCTTGTACTAAAATATTCACATTGTAAGAGAAATTCCAAAAAACCTCCTCAGTAGATTTTCCGATACAATTTTTCTGTGAAAACAGACTGTATTGCAAACATGAAGCTGAGTCCTGTACTTTGCTTTTTAAAAAAGAATATTAGATTCTTTAATTCATGACACTGCCATTTTGGAGCCATCTGAAGAAACAAAGGTCCCTTTAACAATGAAGTAAACATGTATTACTTAATTAATATGTGTGAACTGAATCTGTACCTATGTGTAAATGGCAATGCATTCTGGGTTGGTTCAGCCCTTGGTTCCGAGTTCTGTGTCACTTCTGGAGTTGTTCTTTCATCATCTGTTCCATTAATGCTTTCTGGTGTTAAAGGAGATTGAATGTCCCCTCCTGCTGATTCCTTTAGTAAAAGAAAAAAAACATTACAATTATATACTAAGCTTATGCCACAATGTGCATATAAACAATGACAAAATTAACATTTTTAAGTGCATGGTTACTAATTTTAAAATGACATTAAGCTGAGGCACCCAAAATCATCAGTATACAAATTTGAAAAAACAAACACACACCCAAGCTATCATGTGATATGATTTAGAAACTTAATATTACTTATATGAAAAGCTTGTACACATCAATATGTACAATATATCAACAAGTACGCAGTCTCCTGCTTATAGGGTTCCCTAGACCTCTTTTCCTTCCCTTATCTTCTACCTACACATTAGTACAGACTTTGTGGTTGAAAATTCTTCACAACCATGACTACAACTCTTAACCTTCACTTTGTATTTTACCATAGGGCAACCACCTTGAAGAAGTATTAAAGCTGTTTCTCGTTTTACTTTAATAAAAAATGAAAGTTGAAAGTGGAAGCGTCACTGTTGGTACAATCACAGCTTCAGCTGCACACCAATTACAGTAAAATCTGTACAAGAGTCTATCTGCAAACCTTGTTCAACCAGGGTGGCCTGGACCTAGCTAGTGCTGGCCAAGAAAGCTAGTTTATGTATTGACTCAGCCCATCGGCGGCAAGTATAAGAGGCCAGGGGAGGCTAAGTTTCTCCAAGCAGCCTGCCCACCAAGACCCGGTTCCGCTCGCCCTCTTCCTGTCCCCACTCCGCTTACATGGGAGCCTTGCTGAGGGTGAAGAGGTGTGCGCAAACGGTGAGTGGCCAGCTGGTGTATGTGTGTGGGGGGAACACGAAGAGGTGCGAGCGGCAGGCAGGAGGACTGGAAGAGAAGAGGTGTGTGAGCAGCTTGCCGGTGGGTGGGGGGCCTAAGGGAAGGGACGAAGAGGCATAAGCAGTGTGTGTGGGGGACCTTGGGGATGGGGCCGAACGGGGCTGGGGCATGGGCGGGCCTTCCAGGGAGAAGGCTGAGAGTGGGTGGGCCTCGGGGCAGGGCCACAGTCCAGGTGCATGCAGCCTCCCCAAATGGAGAAGTCACACACCGCCCATGACTCAGCCCGTCCCTTGAGCAGTCTCCACTAGTGTGGGTCTCTGGATCCCTGACTATACTTAAAGATGTCCACTGCTGTATGGCACTGGTACAATCTCCATCACCCTACACCACAACACAGGTACATTTGTGTTTTGCGGTCTCTATCAAGCAACCAATATTTATTAAATCCTGGTCATTAGACATATTTCACTGTAATTTTAATTTTAAAAGGAACATCGCTCAGCCTGGATCCTAAATCTAGGAATTAGAGTTTTTCCACTCACTGTGTATCATTTCCCTGACATGAATAGGTTACAGGAAGCACCATGTTTTTCCTTGACTAAACACATCCTGTGTCTCTAGTGTCACACCCCAATGGCCCCCTCCCTCAGGGAGTCCTCGGGGAAGGTAGATCAGCATTGTATGTGGCTAACGCTGTTGCAAGCATCGCAAAGCATTTTGAGGAGGGTCATAGGTGTGTGAGTGGGGAATGGAAGTACTCTTGCAAAGGAATCAAGAGGCCGGGGGGTGGGGGGAGAAGAAAGAAAAAGCAGAGAACGGGTTAACTCAGCACTTTAGCTAGCTCCGTGTGAAGATAAGATGCTGGCCTCGGCCCAAGGTCATGGACGCGACGAAAAATCTACAGACGAGAAATCTACAGTTGCACAGTCATGAGAAGAGGAGAACTAAGTGGAGCAGAGCTGCAAAGATAGCACCAAAAACAGAGCGAATGAGGCGGCGATGGTGAAGGCCAACAGAAGGGAAAACAAATTCTCCGGAGCCGGTGTGTTTTGGGCAGCCGAGAAGGCCACAGCAAGCCAATTGGGACTGGTACAAAGAGCACCAGTCACAGAGGGCCCTGGACAACGACACCCCAAAGGAACCCAAGACTTAAAAACCCTCCCGAGAGCTGGAGCAATCCGGAGATTACAGCGGATTCCCCGGACGACCTGGGCCCAGGGCAAGAACACCCGTCCACCCCTCCCCCTCTTCTTCTTACGTGACACCCAGGCCTGGCTAGTCATGGGTAGTGCGTGTGTGAATTTGAAAGTGGGTTCGGGCTTGGGGCTCTAATGCTTTCTTTCTTCCTGAGTGACATGGGAGCATTCCCAGCACTCTCTGCTGTATTTTATTAATAAAGCTTTAAAACTTAGACCCTTTGGTGTGCTTCGTCATCTCCTCCCTGAAAAGATCCTGAGGCATCAGCCTGATCAACTGACGCCTTCAGGCAGATTGGTAACAAAAATCTGTCACACTAGCATGTCTTATACCTCTGAATTGAGGGTGTGGGGGAAAGGTGGGTGACAAAAGCTACTGTTATGTAACCCCATGGGCTGGAGCTATGAAAAGGCTGCACTTGTAAGAGTAATGTCTATCCTCCCCATCCCCTCGATTACACTGACCTCAATGGGAACTGAAGGCCACAGCACCTTGTCCAAGGTGCTCATAACTGTAAAGCATGAGGCCCTTATTGTGCACATTCTTCCCCATTTAGTTTTACTCCCTTAAAAACAAACATCTAATTTACAAGCATTAGCCCTTTTGAGCTGCCACTTCTGAATCTGACCCAGTTACTCCAAATCACTAAATCTGCAGGAAAAGTTGGCAAGGGTATTGAGACAGAAGCAGACCACAAAGTTCCAATTTCAGATGACAAATAACCTTAGTTTTCTTTAACCGGACTGAAAATGGAGGTTTCCTTTCCCTCCCCAGAGGACAGATATTGTGTAACCAAAAATGTTCAAGTCAAAACTGTACATTATTTTCAACTTGACCTTTACAAGAGAGTCGAAACATGGTTGACAAATGCTTAATAACTGTTCACATTTTTCTTTTGATTCATATACAGGCAGTGTTTATATCTTAAAGAGTTGCAAAAGCGGCATGATACAAACTTACATTTTAACAAAGTTTTCTGTAATACTTGACTTATAGTTGTATTATGTTAAATGTTTTGGGTTTTTTTAAATCATGTAATACACAAGTATTCCCCTCCCTCCTTCCCACTCCAATCCAGAATGAAGAATCTATTAACTCAAATTATAGGGAGTACACGCTTCTCTCTTTCAATCTTGTTACCATTTCTGTGCCCAAAACTACTTCGTTTGTTTGCACTCTAGTAATACTCAGAATTTAGTTTTAACTACAGTGAATGTTAAAGGCAGAACAGTCCCAAGTGAGAAAAAACTAGTGTAAGAAAACAGCTGCCAGAAGGTTTGGGAGAAATACATATTTGCATATATTATGCTATTATATGTAAAATAGACAGTCCAAATTTTGTCCTCTGATATACAAAGTAACTTCTGCTGACATTAGATAAAAAGGCACAACTATCTGAGGTCAGAACTTATCTTAAACATGAAAATTTTTATTTCAGTTTAAGTAACTTAAAGAAATGCATAAATTACATTTAGCACCATCTTGGGGGTAAAGCAAGTTAATCTATTTTAAGTACAATGGACTTCTGTTGACAAATCAGTATACCTCATTTTAATTATTCCATCCAAATCCATATAGATCTCGGAGATGAAATCTATATCTTTAAAGGCTAGATCAGTTTCTAGTAGTCATTTTTCTGATAAGGTAGGTCAATCAAATTATAATTAGTGCTCTCATATAATTAGAACTTCCACTAGATATTAAATTATTTACCTGCAGCCAACTGGTATTCCAAAAGTGAGAAATTCTTTCCTGCCTTTGAAAATATCAAAGACTGTTTCTAATCTGATCCTTTCAAACAAATTCTCACCATCTTATCAGTACAGAAGTTAAATCAAATTGCCACATATGGGACTAACTTTTAGAAAGTATCATCAATATAAGTGACCGGTAAAAACAAATGCTACTGAACATAAAAGCAACAATTCTCTCTCAGCTGTCTGGGTAGTGGAGGATGCCCACTTGGGGTTGGGAAGGAATTTTCCCCCAGGTCAGATTGACAAAGATCCTGGGGAGTGTGTTAAGCTTCCTCTGCAGCATGGGGCCTGGGTTATTTCCTGGTTTGAACAAGAGTAAATGGTGGATTCTCTGTAACTTGAAGTCTTTAAAAATCAAGATTTGAGGACTTGTGGAAATGGCAGAAGTGCTAAATGACTTGTTTCAATTTTCACCAAAAAGGTTAGTACCGATTGGACAGCTAACATAGTAAATGCCAGTGAAAATTAGGTAGGATCAGAGGCTAAAATAGGGAAAAAACAAGTTAAAAATTACTTAGAAAAGTTAGATGTCTTCAAGTCACCAGGGCCTGATGAAATACATCCTTGAATACTCAAGGAGCTGACTGAGGAGATATCTGAGCCATTAGTGATCATCTCTGAAAAGTCATGGAAGATGGGAGAGATTCCAGAGGACTGGAAAACATCAAATAGGGTGCCAATCTATAAAAATGGAAATAAGGACGACCCGGGGAATTACAGACCAGTCAGCTGAACTTCAGTACCCAGAAATATAATGGAACAAATAATTAAGCAATCAATTTGCAAACATCTAGAAGATAATAAGGTGACAAGTTACAGTCAGCATGGATTTGTCAAGAACAAATCATGTCACACCAACTTAATAGCTTTCTTTGACAAAGTAACAAGCCCTGTGGATGGGGTGGAAGCGGTAGATGTGATATATCTTGACTTTAGTAAGGCTTTTGATACTGTCTCGCAGGACCATCTCATAAACAAACAAGGGAAATACAATCTAGAAGGAGCTATTATAAGGTGGGTGCATAAAAGGTTGGAAAACCATTCCCAGAGAGTAGTTATCAGCGGTTCACAGTCAAGTTGGAAGGGCATATCAAGTGGGGTCCCACAGGGATCAATTCTGGGTCCGGTCCTGTTAATATCTTCATCAATTATTTAGATAATGGCATAGAGAGTACACTTATAAAGTTTGCAGATGATACCAAACTGGGAGGGGCTGCAAGTGCTTTGGAGGATAGGATTAGAATTCAAAATGATCTGGACAAACTGGAGAAATGGTCTGAAGTAAATGGGATGAAATTCAATAAGGACAAAGTACTCCACTTAGGAAGGAACAATCAGTTGCACACATACAAAATGGAAAATGACTGCCTAGGAAAGAGTACTGCACAAAAGGATCTGGGGGTCATAGTGGACCACAAGCTAAATATGAGTCAACAGTGTAACATATTGCAAAAAAAGCAAACATCATTCTGTGATGTATTAGCAGGAGTGTTGTAAGCAAGATACAAAAAGTAATTATTCTGCTCTACTCCGCACTGATTAGGCCTCAACTGGAATACTGTGTCCAGTTCTGGGTACCATATATTTCAGGAAAGATTTGGACAAATTAGAGAAAGTCCAGAGAAGAGCAACAAAAATTATTAAAGGTCTAGAAAACGTGACCTATGAGGGGAGATTGAGAAAATTGGGTTTGTTTAGTCTGGAGAAGAGAAGACAGAGGGGACCGGATAACAGTTTTCAAGTATATAAAAGGTTGTTACAAGGAGGAGGGAGAAAAATTATTTTCCTTAACCTTTGAGGATAGGACAAGAAGCAATCGGCTTAAATTGCAGCAAGGGCACTTTAGGTTGAACATTAGGAATAACCACCCTGACAGTTAGGAAGTTTAACACTGGAATAAATTGCCTAGGGAGGTTGTGGAATCTCCATCATTGGAGGGTTTTAACAGCAGATTAGACAATCACCTTTCAGGGATGGTCTAGATAATACTTAGTCCTGCCTTGAGTGCAGGGGACTGGACTAGATGTCTTCTTGAGGTCCTTCCAGTCATATGATTCTATGACATTCAGCGCCGGCCCCAGGGTTTTTGCCGCCCCAAGCAGCAGGAAAAAAAAAAAAAAAAAAAAAAAAAACCCGCGCCCGCGGTCAGCGGCAGGTCCACTGCGCCGCTTTCTTTTTCGGCGGCAGGTCCTTCCCTCTGAGAGGGACTGAGGGACCCGCTGCCGAAGAGCCCGACGTGCCGCCCCTTCCCCTTGGCCACCCCAAGCACCTGCTTGCTCAGCTGGTGCCTGGAGCCGGCCCTGATGACATTAATGCATTCGTTGCTACAGTAACTGAGAATCAGACCCTAAATGTCTACTTTGAACACCGACATGGCAGCAGACTATAAAACACTTTAAAAAAAAGAACAGTAAACCCGGAGAAAAAAAGTCATTTTAAAAACACTAAGCAACACTCAGTATATTACTGAAACCTGCTGGGAAGATTCCTATTATTGGAACATGAACATCAATGGTTACGATCTTCTTAAGGAGGAGTGTGGGGGCAAAAGGGGAGGGGGAGTGACACTGTCAAAAAATAGTATTACAGTAGAACCTCAGAGTTAATAGCAGCTTGGGAATGGAGGTTGTTCGTAACTCTGAAATGTTCATAACTCTGAACAAAGCATTATGGTTGTTCTTTCAAAAGTTTTTCAACTGAACATTGACTTACTATAGCTTTAAAACTTTACTATGCAGAAGAAATATGCTGCTTTCCCTTTTTTGTAGTTTATGTTTAACACAGTACTGTACTGTATTTGCTTTTCCCCCCCTCTCTGCTGCTGCCTGATTGTGTGCTTCTGGTTCCAAAAGAGATGTGTGGTTGACAGGTGAGTTCATAACTCTGGTGTTCATAACTCTGAGGTTCTAATGTACTTGTTTCCAGGTCACTGACAACTCTGAAGCAAATGACCTTTAATGCTTATGGATTAGTGTTTTAACAGATAAAGCACAAGATGGGGTAACTAGCTGGTATCACACTAGAGAACAGAATGACTGGCTCTTTATTCACTTATCTATAATGCGTAGGAAAAAAGTTGCATTGTCACAGGAGACTCCAATCCAAGTGACATATGCTGGAGGTCTCTCACTGCCAATACTAAAACATCTTTGGAAGTTCTAAATAGATAGATAGATAGATAGATAGATGTCGATTTCTTAACTCAAAACGTGCTGCATCCACCACAGGGCAATTCTATACAGGACTTCGTCTTGACAGAGAACTGATCTCAGAACTCAAAATGAGTGGTTGCTTAGGTACAAGTAATCATGACTTAATTCTGTTTGTACAAGTTCAGTCAAATCCAAACCAGTAACATATGTGCTTGCTGCTTTAAAAGGGCCAATTTCACGCAGCAGAAAATAATTGTGAGTCAAGTCAGCTAAAAGAAAAAAATTTAAACAGAAAAATATTAATGATAATTGGGAATTGTTTAAGCACGTTTTACTAGATGCCCAAAAAGCCACAGTGGAGAAAGAAGGCTACACTGGTTTAAAATGTTCTAGTTCAAGAGCAGCTGTTGGACTTGAAGCAGGAATTAAGTCCTATGGCCTGTGTTAGTAGTCTAGTGTGACCACTTGCATTATTCAATGGTCACTGCCTGCCAAATAAATTAATAAATCTATTAAGCTATAATAAACAAAATCTATTAAGCTATAAAGTTCTGAGCTCAGATCAAACCATAAAACCCACCTGTGAAGGTGTACTTGTTAGCTCCATCTTTTCTTGGGATTTCTCCTTTGCTAATCGTGCAGCTTCTTTGAATTCCTGAAATTTTTCTGCAAACTGAAGGTACATATGTTTAAAAAGATTATAGTACAAATACAAAATAATTGTTACAAAACATCTTACAAAATAAGACCACTACAGATTCAGTCAGTCAAGGGTTTTTCCCCCTTAGTAAATGATCATTTAACCAAACTGTGCTGTATTATTTATGGTACATAAGTTTACATATGCTTAAAAATCCATTTGTATGTGGGCAATACAGACACACTCATCAGCAAACAACCACATTAAAATTGTGATATATCAACAAAATATAATGCTATACACAAATGATAGTGTGAAAAGCCACCTCAAGTCTGGGTATTAAGTGTGTTAGGTAGCCTTAAAAAGCTTCCTTGAAGTTTGAAATTCATTTTCCTCCTTACAGATGTTGAGATGTAAAACCCACTGAAGTCAATAGGAGTCTCTTGGTCTTCAATGGCCTTAATCCTTTCTCATGTGGAAAATATACTGATTTCTCCCCATATCTTGGCTAAAACTGAAACTCAAATGGGTGAAAAATCAACCAGAGGAATACTAAACCAAATTAATCTCTGATGCAGCTCCACTGAAGTCAATGGAGTTACATGAAGGATCAATTTGTTTCATTACGGCTAAGTAAATATTTAGTTAAGAATAATTTCAAGGATTACTATTCACATACTTTGTTTCATGAAGTTTCATAAAAAGGTCAATGTTTCCGGCACAGAGTCTTCTTCCTGAAAACTGTTCAACTAGTTCTAATAGTGATTGAGAAATTATTCTGAATTAAATGTTAAATTTAAACATGATGGATTAAATTAATCTTTTGAGCAACTTTAATAAAGTAATGGAATTACAGAGATGAATTTGGCTTGATGTGCCTAAACCTGATAAGCACGGCACTCATCGTAGTATCCAAGCAACTGTTTTTATTTGAATTATGATTTTCTTATTAAGACCTCCTTGAGAACAACTGGTTTTGAAGAAGCATCTGACTAAAGAGTTTGCAGAAATATTTTAATTTCTCTGATACTGGTATACTCGGGTTTTTTGTTTTGTTTTGTTTTTTACACTGCATATGATCGCATGGATTTGGAGGGAATGGAAGATGTTATTGTATTACACAACTTTCTCACCCGTTTTCAAGCAAAACCTGACCTGTTGCCAAAGATCTAGAAATGGAGACAAAGAGGACACCAGTTTCTCAGAATGAAAGCAATTCTGAATAACTTAATCCAGAGGTCAACTGCTCAGCTACTGTAAATAAACCTGTTTTGTAGATGGTCTACCAAAGTCTGGAGGAATGTGGTATCCTCCTCACTGGAATTGTATCAATTTTCAATAAAACTCAGATTTATTTTCCAGGAGATGTGAGAAAGCATTCAGAATTACATCTCCCTCCTCTCAAGTCTCAGGTGGTGGTGATTTAGAGAGAAAATGAGTCAAGAGTTTTTCAAGAAGTTTAGGCTTCTTTCCTGAAACACACTGCAGACTCCTAACAGGAATCTGATTGTAACAAGGATTTCTCTTTTCCTAGAGAAAGGTAAATTCAAGAAAGCTCATTCTGCCCTTCATATTCTAGTAGAAGAGAGCTGGTTCTCTCCTTCAGACAATAAAATATTTTGAGTTGAGTTCTTAAAAACTAAATATAAAAATTTAACAAAAAAAGAGCAAACTAGTGTCATCTAAAATAGACAGTCATTGCTTCTTACACAAAAAAGGCAGAAAATGCCAATCATCTTGGAGAACTTGGTTCCTTCCAAAAAAACTCCCCCCAGGCACCGACCTTGAACAAAAACAGTGATGTACTCTAAATTGAGTGAGAGAGGGGATGGAAAAGACTGGTGACAATATGACCAAGTAGAAGCTGAGGAATGACCCCAAATGCAAATGTGGAAAGCCTCCGCAATCACTTCAATGCTGTCTGATGCAGTACCCCTTGTCAATAACCTCTCCTCCAGAGGAACTATTTGAAATAAGTGAGACCACCAGATTTTGGCTACAATTTCGGAGCGACGAGCTATGACTAGGACTTCTCACACTAAGGTTTCTTTCTTCTCTTTCCTTTGGATTCCAACATCCCCACCAGATTAACACTGTACCAGAAAACTAAAGTTCCCTACTCAGGAAATTGACCATTTCACAACTAGGACAAAATTTGTGGATTAAACATATTTCAACAAATTATTACATGATTGACAACTTTGTGACTAATGGGGCACTGTGCACAAAGTTCCCCAAAGAGCATCACTATCCCATCTAGGTGCCTCATTGCCTTTAATATTACAATACATTTCCAATATTCTCTGAAGCTAGCAACCAACATCATGGGCACCTCAGTGTGTGCTAAACAAATAATTTGGCTGCATCCTTAGGAATTTTCCATACATAACAAAAATGAATAGTCCTCTCATTCAGCGGAGTTCTGTATTCTGCAAATCAGCTACATTCCACTCTTAAGGAAGCAAAAGAGAATGTCATCTCTGTTTAAGTGACTCAAGCTTGAAAGATCAACTTTTTTATTTGGACATTCTCACCATATTCCTTATCTGAAGATTACTGGCTACATTCAGAAGAAGAGATTCTCCATTGCTGCACACATTGTGTAGTCATTCACTCTTGTGCAAAATGAGTACAAAGGGAGGATGTTCTGATAGGGTAGCATTTTACATGCATTTGTGAATGAATACGCAAGGTGCAAAGCAGTGGGAAATCAGGCCAGAATGTCTAGATTGAAATTCCAACTACTAATTTTAGAAGTTTTCTTAGACCTTCCAAACAGCTAACAAGCCTGAGAAAATTTTCTTAAGAACATAAGAACGGCCGTACTGGGTCAGACCAAAGGTCCATCTAGCCCAGTATCCTGTCTGCCGACAGTGGCCAATGCCAGATGCCCCAGAGGTAATGATCAAGTGAACCTAACAGGTAATGATCAAGTGATCTCTCTCCTGCCATCCATCTCCACCCTCTGACAAACAGAGTCTAGGGACACCATTCCTTACCCATCTTGGCTAATAGCCATTAATGGACTTAACTGCCATGAATTTATCCAGTTCTCTTTTAAACGCTGTTATAGTCCTAGCCTTCACAACCTCCTCAGGCAAGGAGTTCCACAAGTTGACTGTGCGATGTGTGAAGAAGAACTTCCTTCTATTTGTTTTAAACCTGCTGCCTATTAATTTCATTTGGTGACCCCTAGTTCTTGTATTATGGGAATAAGTAAATAACTTTTTCTTATCCACTTTCTCCACATCACTCAATTTTATATACCTCTATCATATCCCCCCTTAGTCTCCTCTTTCCCAAACTGAAAAGTCCTAGCCTCTTTAATCTCTCCTCGTATGGGACCCTTTCCAAACCCCTAATCATTTTAGTTGCCCTTCTCTGAACCTTTTCTAGTGCCAGTATATCTTTTTTGAGATGAGGAGACCATATTTGTACGCAGTATTCAAGATGTGGGCGTACCATTAACTCCACCAGAGTGGTCCTTTGGGGCCATCTGCCTGTCCCAAGTCAGGATAAAGGAGGAGGGTTGGGCGTGGGGCTAGCAACTCCACCCTGTAAAAAATCAACTTGCTACAGAAACGCCAACAATAGAGATAACAGAGACTTTTAGCCGGGAAAAAGAAGGGTCTTCAACTCAAAGACGCAGGACGCTGGGTGGTGAAAGTCGTGAGGAAGCCACTAAGCCGATTACCCTTCTTGCAACCAGGAGGATTACCATCGGTACATGGCTGATAGCATAAAAATGGGCTATACCTGGAACCAGCTAGAGCGAATGGCCCAGGATAAAGGACTATGGAGATCTGTGGTTGGCGGCCCATACCCCGATTGGGGTGACGGGCATGAGTGAGTGAGTGAGTGAGTGAGTGGGCGTACCATTGATTTATATAGGGGAAATAATATATTCTCTGTCTTATTCTCTATCCCCTTTTTAATGATTCCTAACATCCTGTTTGCTTTTTTGACCGCCTTTTAACAATTATAGTAGTTTAGTTCCAGGAAGCATGACCTCATGTCCTGGATAAGAAACAAGTTCTCTTAATGACCTTTTGGAGCTACTGTATACAGTTCCAGTCCTCCTATTCTGTCAGCAAATTCTTTGGTTCAAGAAAATAAAGGGAGCTTTCCTTCAAGGGCGTTTTTCACCTTAACCATCAGTAACAGATGCCTTTTCCCAATGAACAACTCAATTAACAGATATGTTTAAATGGAGATTCTTCACTTCATCCTCATATCTTAAGATTGCTTTTATCTCTTCAAGGTTACATATTTGCCACCAGAGATTCCAGAGTCTGTTTCTTTCTTTCTCTTTTGTTCTTTTTCAGCATTAGTATGTTCAGTTTGGTGATTTTCACCAAAGTCATGATTACAATAGCTGCTCTGTGTTGAGGAAAGAGGCTATCATGCTTGGATGATTGGTTTGGGAGGGCAGTAATACCAGCAGAAGAGGAAGCAGTCCACAAAGTGAAAATACTAGTCTAATTTTTAGGATTTATTGTCAACCTAGAGAAGATGTGCCACCTGCTAAGGGAACAGGCAATGGTCAGGCAAGTAGCAAGTTGAGAATACTACTTATTACGAAAAAGATACTTGTTTTACAACTACCTTGTCCTCCACAGCTCTGCTTGTCTGTTTCATCCATCTATAGTGTCTACTCAAACCTAGAAAGTAAGCTCCCTGGGGCAAGAACTGTCTTTTTGCTATGTTTTTACAGTGGCTAGCCCAATGGGACTCTGATTAGGGCCCCTGTATACTGATGTAATTCAAATTATATAATGAAACAGCTCATCTAGGGGCACTGATAGTCACAAACATAGAAAAGGAATTTTAAAACTGGAGTTATAGGTAACAAAGGAATAAATTGTTTCAGAAATTTCAGAAACAAATGTTAATATAAATTAATATTTCTCTGGCACCCTGAGGCCCTAGTCACAACTGAAGTCCCATTCCACTAGGCACTATTCAAATACCTAGTCAAAGGCAGTCACTGTGGACAGGACACTGTGGAAGGGGACACAGCGACAGAGGAAGTGAGTTTCCCAAAGTCACACAGGAATTTAATAGAGCAGGATTATAACCCAGGTCTTCTATTGTCTCAGTCCAGTGTCCACTAAATAAACTTATTTCCCAATTCAAAAGTGACTGAATAGATTACGATCAAAAAGTGAAGATTTCTTTTCCCCGCTAAGAAGTTTTCATAATCTTTTCTTGCATTTTGCTATTTTAAAAACACACTGACAAAACAGCTTAATTTTAAAACTTCAGTCTTGTTTTGTGTGTGAGGTGGGGAGGGAGTCCTGAACAAGGATTGGTGACTAACATATCTGTAGGTTTAATAATTAAGATAAAGAAGGCACCATGAAAATAGCATATTGAACATGTACTGAATGTTCATTATCACAAACTTCAGAAAAAGACAGTTTGATTTTTATACAAAAAGTTTACATATCTGCCAAACAGCATGGAATTCAGGATGTGCACTGCTTAACTGCTTCCTACAATAATTCTAATTTTTTTCAATTCCTCATTAGCACATTGGTATCACACATGCAAATAATGATATAGCCAACATATACGCACATCCCAGGAGGATTAAGACACCACGAACCACAGAAAGGGGCAAATGAAGAGGCAGTATCAAGATGCTAGGGAAAAACAAACAAACAAAAAACATAAAACAGGAATTCCTGCTCCTTCTTCCAAATGTTGGAAGAAGGCTGAATACAAGGCACTCTTATTACGCTCGTATGAGATTCTGTTTTGAGAAATGAAGAGAGTGACCTGCAACAAACTACACCTCTACCCCGATATAACGCTGTCCTCGGGAGCCAAAAAATCTTACCGTGTTATAGGTGAAACCATGTTATATCGAACTTGCTTTGATCCGCCGGAGTGCGCAGCCCTGCCCCCCCCGGATCACTGCTTTACTGCGTTATATCCGAATTCGTGTTACATCGGGTCGCGTTATATCGTGGTAGAGGTGTAGTACATTAGAAAGGAAAATCAAATCAGCACTCGTCAAATAACCCTTGTAAGTATTAGCAATGCAAGATATACACCATGTTAATGAGTAATTGTCTCTTGGGTAGATATGGACACCAGTTTAAAACGATCTACATTAACTTGTTTTTTTAAGCTTACTGATGCAGTGACGTGTGAGAATGCACATGCATATTATATTATAATCAATGTCACTCAGAATTTTTTCCTTGGTTTTGTGTAACTTAGTAGAGATTGATGCTATTTGATTATGAAAAGCAAAATAATTTTAATAAGTAAATCACAATAATATCCAACTGGACAGATATTCCATCAGGAAATAATTTGAAGGGAGTGGGCACAAGGGAACTGTTGTAACTCCTTGATCTGGACTGAGGCTGGCTCTACACTTTCCTAAGTGTAGAGTGGATGCAGTAGTGCAGATAATCTGGTTTAAGGGAGCTCCAAGGAAAGCAAAGGTAGGGTCTTCTGGAAGGCCCAAGGTTCTCTGGAAAACCAGGTAATTCAGTGAGAAAACCTTTCAGGAGTTTCTCTATTTCTGTATGCCCTATGAACTACTGCATACACTACTAACAACTCGCAGTCTGTTGTTCAAATTGCGGCACTAAAGACATCAGGAATACTAACTGGGATTTCTCTGGGCAATGTGAGCAACTTACCTCCCACTATGAAAGTGGACTTTTATTTTCAAGCAGGCCAGCATAAAATTTCACATACTCCACAAGGTGTTTCTCAATATTGCTGGTAATATATTTGAATTTTCTATACTCTAATAATAACAGTTTTATTTTACCTCTACTGTATTTTTCTAACTTTCCCTTAAGTTTTCAATTTTTAAAATGTTTGTAATAAAATATTAGTTATATGGCAGAGAATGGAGGAAAAGATGAAAGAAGAATGTGGGTGAAAATTACAGTTGAAAAAACAGTGTGTCACTGACTGAGCAAAAATTTTCCTGATGAGATCTAAATATAGCAAGAAAGAAACTATTTGAATTTAGGGCCTGAATCTTCTTCCTTAAAAGAAAAAAAGTAAACTTATCTTCCATGTAAATGTTTTGGTTTCCTACAGGGAAAAAATTCACTCTTATATGACAAAAGAGAAGAGAAAATCTGACATTTTACATTGTGCAGTAAGGTTTAAAAAAAAAAAAAAAAATCTAAAATTTCTCCCTTAAAAAAAAAATTAATGGGTATCACAAAGCGGTTTAAAAACTTGCTTCCAGGGTTGCCCTTCTCCATATTATAAAGGCTGGATTCAGAGAATATGTAAATATTACCTTAACACTATTGAGTGTCAAGGCTATACAAGATATTAATTTGCTTCTAGCTCTTCATAAATCATCCTGACTGTTCAGGGGGGAAAAGAAAAGACCAAAAAAAACAACCTCCCCCCCCCAAAATAAAAAAACAACAACCTTTTTTCCACATCTCTCGGGTATTTTTAAAAAACAGGTTTACTTACTTTTGAAAGATGATGTTCAGAGGAAAATCCCAAGCCATAGACAGTATTCGCCCTGCTGTCTGCCCACTGGCCAAACTTCTGGGATGTTTTAGTAAATGTCATGTTGGGGGTGATAGTGCTATTAATTATTGCCTGCAAAGAAAATGTAATAGCAGTCGTAAGAAGTTCTCACCACATTTTAAATAACGTAAGATCCATCAGCAAACATGCAGATATATCCAAATATTTGGGTACAGTTACATGGTCTCAAAAGAACTCTTTAGCAAAGCCATATAAACTGGTAGCCATGATTTAGAGGTGATACAAACTGTTCCAATCACATCTACAGTTATTAATATGCAGAGTGGCATTTTTTTTTCTAGGAGAGATGCCAATGGGGTCAGAAGGAAAAAAAAACAAAAAAATCCCCACAGATTTTGTGATGGGTACGTTGATGCATCATTCTAAAGACATACTGCTAAGACAGCTGTTGTCTTACACTAAAATAAAAGCTTCGAAATGTGTGTTCAGAAATACAATTTTGTAGTTTTCGGTACTCTTATTGTTCCTTTATGTGAACATGGCTAGCATTAATGAGATGACACCTAACTATAAGAAAAAACCTCACATCTCTGTGTTTTAAATATCATAGAATCATAGAATATCAGGGTTGGAAGGGACCTCAGGAGGTCATCTAGTCCAACCCCCTGCTCAAAGCAGGACCAATCCCCAACTAAATCATCCCAGCCAGGGCTTTGTCAAGTCTGACCTTAAAAACCTCTAAGGAAGGAGGTTCCACCACCTCCCTAGGTAACCCATTCCAGTGCTTCACTACCCTCCTAGTGAAAAAGTTTTTCTTGATAACCAACCTAAACCTCCCCCACTACAACCTGAGACCATTACTCCTTGTTCTGTCATCTGGTACCACTGAGAACAGTCTAGATCCATCCTCTTTGGAACCCCCTTTCAGGTAGTTGAAAGCAGCTATCAAATCCCCGCTCATTCTTCTCTTCTGCAGACTAAACAATCCCTGTTCCCTCAGCCTCTCCTCATAAGTCATGTGCTCCAGCCACCTAATCATTTTCATTGCCCTCCTCTGGACTCTTTCCAATTTTTCCACATCCTTCTTGTAGTATGGGGCCCAAAACTGGACACAGTACTCCAGATGAGGCCTCACCAATGTCGAATAGAGGGGAATGATCACGTCCCTCGATCTGCTGGCAATGCCCCTACTTATACAGCCCAAAATGCTGTTAGCCTTCTTGGCAACAAGGGCACACTGTTGACTCATATCCAGCTTCTCGTCCACTGTAACCCCTAGGTCCTTTTCTGCAGAACTGCTGCCTAGCCATTTGGTCCCTAGTCTGTAGCAGTGCATGGGATTCTTCCATCCTAAGTGCAGGACTCTTCACTTGTCCTTGTTGAACCTCATCAGATTTCTTTTGGCCCAATCTTCTAATTTGTCTAGGTCCCTCTGTATCCTATCCCGACCCTCCAGCATATCTACCACTCCTCCCAGTTTAATGTCGTCTGCAAACTTGCTGAGGGTGCAGTCCATGCCATCCTCCAGATCATTAATGAAGATATTGAACAAAACCGGCTCCAGGACCAACACTTTGGGCACTCCGCTTGATACCGGCTGCCAACTAGACATGGAGCCATTGATCACTACCTGTTGAGCCCAACGATCTAGCCAACTTTCTATCCACCTTATAGTCCATTCATCCAGCCCATACTTCTTTAACTTGAGGGCAAGAATACCGTATCAAAAGCTTTGCTAAAGTCAAGGAAAAATACTACAATATAGAATAGTTCAAGTACAATTACAATATATTGTGGAATATTTGGAAAAGCAGACTCTCTGGAAGGAATAAGAAACTGGAATATAGGTTTTTTTTTTGTTTTTTTTTTAAACTGTCTTTAGTAAAGCGGGGTGGGAACTGTACACCATCCTAAACATCTTGAACAAGAGAGGCACAAGGTGTGGGAGGTAATATATGTTATTGGATCAACTTCTATTGGCAAGAAAGACAAGCTTTTGAAGTTATACAGAACTCTTCCGGTCTGTGAAACTTAGGGCAAGATCTACACTTAAAATGCTGCATCTGCGCAGATGCACCGCTGTAGCATTTTAATGAAGGTGCTCTACAGTGACGGAAGAGAGCTCTCCCGTCACTGTAGTTAATCCACCTTCCCAAGAGGCAATAGCTATGTTGGTGGAGGAAGCTCTCCTGCCAAAATAGTGCGGTCTACACAGGAGTTAGGTCGGTATAACTATGTCGCTCAGGGGTGTTGATTTGTCAACCCCCTGAGCGACGCAGTTATACTGATATAAGTCTGTAGTGTAGATCAGACTTTGTATCACAGCTAAATACAAGATGGAACAGATTGTTTAGCATAAATAGTTAACACATATTTCAAGGGACCATTCAAGATGAAGGCCTGTTAACGGGCCATTTCACCTCGAATGGTTCCTTGAAATATGCGTTAACTACATATGCTAAACTATCTGGCTCATCTTGTATTTAGCTGTGACACTAAATAAGTTTCCAGACCTGAAGACCAGCTCTGTATGGCTTGAAAGCTTGTCTCTCTTTCCAACAGAAGTTGATCTAATAACAGATGTTACCTCACCCACCTTGTCTCTCTAACGTCCTGGGACTGACATGGCTACAACTACACTGCATACGAAGAAACTTTGTGTCAAGGTCCCCAACTCAGAGCTCTATGGTGGCCAGAGTCTTCCACCATAATTATGTCAATCTTTCCTTTTTACGGGAGTGGGAAGAAAAATAACATCTCCTGAAACTAGTACATTTCTGCTGAGAAGTTCTTATTGGCTTAAAGATATACTTAGTGATTTCAAGGGCCTAAAAATAACACCCCCCCCCCAAAACAAAACCCCCAAAACCCCCCGGGGGGGGGGGGTGAACTCCTGGCCCCACTGAAGTTGATGGGAGTTTTGCCATTGACTTCAGTGGGGCCAGGATTTCACTCTTGTCTCTTACCTCTGTCTCTATGATCTTGCCTCTCTGAAGTTAGATCCATTAACTTGCTCCTTTGAAGGGAAGGGATGCTAAATTCTTTTCTAGGACCTCTGAAACACACAACCTACATTGTCCTTCTATACCGAAAGAAGGACAGGAGATACTGGATATGGTTTTATTCAGTCCGTAACTTTATTATTAGATGTCTGGGACTACCCTGCAAAGGGGGGTGGGGGAGGGGAAGTGTACAGTACCCGTAACTCCATGATCGTACAATAGCTACCTGGGGGCTTCCGCCAGCCCCTCCCTTTTTCCATCCAGGTCCTCCAGCCAACCCACTGCTGGGACCCTACCATCCCCCTCGCCCCAAATGAGTGTTTGGGTGGGCTATAAAGAAGGGGGGGTGGTTCCCTGCCATGCCAGTCTTATGAGCCCTAAGCACCCCCTCCCTCCCGGTTCCACTCTTTAACCAATACCGTCTAAGTCCTTTACCAAGCCATTTATCTGATCACTGTAGCCCTTCCCTATGCACTGGACATCCGCCCCACACTTACATAATGAGTTGCGACATCATAACTTAACTCCCATCCCATCTCACCATAACAAAGCCCTTCCCGAACCCGCTGTGGAGAAAGTGAAAACCCCCCCACTCCACCTAAGTCAATCTGGTGGTGAGGGGAAAAATTCCTTCCCAGCACTCCTAGAAAGGAGCGGCTAGTGCAATGTCCACAGCAGGTTCTGACCAAACCTGGTATTTTGCCATCTCAAGGGGAGGGAGGGTGGGTGGGTACTGCTCCACCTGGTCCGGGGAAAAGGGGCTTCTCCCACCAGGCTTGCCACTTTTCACTTCCCCAGCCCTTCCATGCCTGGGGATGAGTCAGCATCGCCATGCTGGCCCACTCCCTCTTTTGTAGCAGCTTCTGAGCCCCTCTCTCACCTCCCCCCTGCAAAGTGCTATTCCCCTTCCCCCAGCAAGTTGGATAATGTCCCTTTCTGTTCCTCCCCCTCCCCACTTAAGGTGTGGCATGGTCATTTGCACTCCTGAACTCTCAAAAAATGTCTTCAGTGCAGCACCATAATAGAAAATAAATTGTGTAGTCCCCAGAAATAATTCCTTCTCAGAACAGTAGTTTTTCCTAAGACTACCATAATGGCAACATCAATTTCGGGTACAACAAATCTGAACTAATCTGGAGTTTACCTGTACTCATTAAGAATTACTTCATATAAATCAATAATCAAAAGATACATAGCACTTACATAGCACTTTGCATATTCAAAGCACTATAGAACACCTGTTCTGAGACTTTTGCCAAAGACTAAATGAAGAACTAATCACCATTTTGCACTGGAGTTTATCATCCTCCACATGACTCAGAGTAAGCAAAACCTGATTAAATTGGGAAGTCGGTATCCACTAGTTTAAAGTAACAATGCTACATACACCATCTATTCTTTCCTCTTTTCAATTGAAGAAGGGTGTGCTTTAGGCCTTATTCGGTGCATTTTACAAAAGCATCTTATTAACATATGGTCCAGATACCATTGTGTGTGGAAGCTACAATTTGGAAATTAGAGAAGACTGAATTTAAAAATATAATTGGCTCTGGATGTACAGCTGACTCTTTAGAAAGAGTATGACCTGCTGCCTGATCAGTTCCTGAATATGAAGGTTAACTTCTTCAGGATTAGAAATAAAGACTGCTACAGAAGCCAGCTATTGCTATCCACCTCAATATCAGGAAGTGAATGCGTACTCAATAGTAGCCTAAATTGTATCTTACCTAACATATTACGTAATAGGAAGGCCCTTTTTAAAAAAAATACCTTTTACTTTCTTACCTCTCTTACTAAATTCCTTTTTTAAATATGAGAATGTGGGCTGCTAGACAGAAGGATCACACTTTCCCAGCATTCACCATCTCTTCCTATTCTAGTCTTTCCTTGTTCCGGTCTTCTTTCAAGGAAACTTATTTGCTTATGACCCTTATTACTGTAGCAGCCCAATGACAGAAAATTTTAACTAGGGTGAAAGATCTTAAAATCTTCAGAGAGTATGCTGGTAGTGAAATAGCATGGGTTTAAGGTTTTGAAAATGGTACGCCTCTGTCAGACAGGGTGAAGTAGCAGTAAGTATGGAACATTTATCTCTTGAGCAAATGGAAG